TCGAACCAGACTTTTAATTAGGTTCGAATTTTCGAACCGGACTTTTCGTCAGGTTCGAGTCCGGTTCAAGCTCGAACTCGAACTGAACCAGACTTTTTTTCGGAACCCTACTACATATCAAGTTTTACTAAAGTGTTCTCCAAATAAGAGAACATTTTTTATAATTATCAATGTTCTCAAAAAATGATTTAGTGTTCTATGGGAACACCGAGAACATCAATGTTGACGAATCAAAATTCGAAAAGTGGTGATCGACTCGAGAATATTTTATTTTGACACGACTCTTAATTTCCTCTCGCCGCAAGATTATACAACAATAATAATAGTAATAATACAGCTCTATCATTTAAATTAAGCAAAATGTTTGAAGAAGAACTTAGCTTTCTGCGTAGGATGACCAAGCGACAGGTAGTTCAGTCGATCTTTTAGCATGCTGTTGTATTTGATGTGATAAACCGTTGCTTTTAGTATAGAGAGAGAGAGAGAGAGAAACGTACTTTTTGCATTTCATTAACTGACTTACATTAGTATAATCAAAACATGTATATCTTTTCTCCACCTTCGTATCGTATCATGCATGAAAGCTTGCAATGCAAGTCCTTAATTTTGTAATGATAATTTCATCGGCATTAATGGTGTGGAAAGGGTTAGCATTATACACAAATAGCGAAAGTCCGATAGTTGTAGTTTTAAGGTATTTATTCACAATTTGATCTATATTTAAAATTTATTTTCTGTAATCATATAAAATATTTTGCATAATTCGCTGAATGAATGAATGTCTGTTATGAACGTGTGTAGTGGTAGTATGGAACCAGCGTTCTATCGTGGTGATCTTTTGTTCCTTGGAATGCCGGATGAACCAGTACGTGTTGGTGATATAGTGGTATTTAAAATTCCGGGAAGGGATGTGCCGATTGTCCATCGTGTTATAAAGTTACATGATGAGTACGTATATTATTTATCAGTAGTATTTATTTTTTGTATTTTACATGACATTAAAGTTGATGGATTTTAAATAGACGTGATACCAGTAAACAATTCATTCTGACAAAAGGTGATAATAATCAGGTTGATGATCGAGGACTATACAATCCTGGGCAACTTTGGATTCATAAAGAAGATATTGTGGGAAAAGTTAGAGGGTGTGTATGATATACTAATTTACTTTGATTTTAGATTTTTGCCATATGTTGGAATGGTCCCGATTTTATATATTTATTTGTTTTTGTTTTGATTTTAGATTTTTGCCGTATGTTGGAATGGTCACGATAATTATGAATGATTATCCTCAATTAAAGTGGGTTTTAATTGGAGGGTTGGGGTTATGGGTGTTGGTTAATCGGGAATAAAAAGGTATATTTATAATAGAGACAATAACGGTAGATTGTTATTGGCGAAAATAATAATTATGTTTGGAGGGTAAATTCTTATCCTTTTTTGGGTTTTTTCTAAATTGTGCATAAAATCATGCGGTAATTATTTTTTATTTTTACAATTTCAATACAATCTCATTATTCAAATAATACACTACTTGAATATTAAATCTTTTTGACCACATAAATATCATCAATGAACTTCGCCAAATCTACATCACGTTTTGAGAGCCCTTGGCATTCGTGAGTTGCAAGTGTTATCTCGACGCGATTGTATACCTTAGAAGGGTAATGGTAAATTTTTCATTACTCAGTTATAAGTTTACAATTTGGATTTACTTACATTGAACCATTCTGGATGATGATCAACCTAAAATCAATTATAAGAAAATACGAATTAGCTATAAGATCCCTTTTTCTCGGTATGACGAATCCCATTTGCACAAATAAATAAGGTACAATTCAACTAAATACAAACCTTCTCAGCCTTCAAAGCAATTCTAGTCATGAACCCGAACGCCTCATTAAAATTCTTGAACATAAACGTCTTTTTTATTGCGTCCCTATTCTCGATTAGTGCCCAAGAGTTTTGAAGTAACGGATCAAGTAGGGAAGTGCGTTCTTCAGAGGTCAGAGTTTTAACCATGATTCTACTACGTTTAATGGTATTGCTGTTGCTATTAATGGAATAGAATCTACGGGGTAGTATTATTTGTGGGTTTTTGACGGGGAGGATATTGGTTAGAACTGTAAATCTTTCTTTAATTATTAGAGAAAATAATAGTCTATTCATTTAAGAAATATCGTGGGAAAATCCATTTAGATAATCAACATCACACTTCTGTGATAAACTCGCGTAAAAATTCAAATTCCCCTGTCACAATCTTTCTATATTAAGTTTTTATAAAAGATAGGGTTCTCTTTTTTTGGTTTTTATCCAACAATCTAAAAAAAAAAAAACCATGAAAGAATCGTCATTTCCGGATAGTTTTGAGCCGCACAAAATCCCAGAATTCGACCTATTAATATTCATTCATTTCGCTATAACGTTTATAGTAATAGCGTATCCATCCTACCGTATAGTTGCCGGGAAATTTAATTGGGAGTTGACAACCAAGACACCAGCAAAGCATTATAGTGATTTAATGGCATTGTTTCGATATGGATTTATTGTATTTGTGTTGGGCAGGTATTCGGAAACATTTGGTAATCCAAACCGTTGGATCACGATATTATCATTCTATATCGCAATATTTTCCTATGGTTTAATTGCCCAAATACCATTCACAAAAACTTCACTTCCACGATGGCGATCATGGACATTAGCAATGTGGATTCTATTCATTGCGGCAGCGGCTATTATTTTAGTATTTGCCGGTTATCATATTCATTTGGCAGATTCTTTTGAGCCGATAAATGAGCAGAATAAGAAATTTGTCGTTTGGTATTCGGGGTGTTTGATTATCCCGGTTCTGTTGGCGATTGTTGCGTTGATGTTTCAAAAAGTGCAAAACGATTATGATTTCAATAATATCGGAGATAGAATATACGTAAAATATTTTAAACGTATTAGAAAAACACAAATACAAAACATAAATGTTAATGTTGGTAACGAGAACAATGTAACAAATAATAACAGCGATACGTTAATCACACAAGGAAAAACCATCGCCACCCATTATGGATCTCTGGTCAACGAAAATGAGACAACAAGTTTTCCAGTAATCCCACCTGGTCCAAAAACCAAAGCCTGCGTCCACTTACATCATTGGCAAATTTTTTACGTATTGGCTTTCTTTACGCGATTTGAGGATCCTTTGTCTCGTATTGCTAGTGGAATTGTGCTAGGGATTTATACTCAGGGAATAGCAGCGTATGTATTCATGATATTTAATTTTTATTATCTTTTTAGAAATTTTTAATGCTACTGCGCTTTTTTGATAGATATGGACCAGACAACTTTCTCGAGGATTATATGGAATAATCTACTTGTTTGTTTGTTTAGACGTTTTTGTTAATTATTGTAAATTATTTTGATTTTTTGTATCTATTTATTTTGTTAAAATATCATTGTTGGAAAGCTATGATCTTTCATAACAGAAAAATAAATTTCGATTCTGGCAAATCATGTGGTTAAAGTTTGTAGAGTGTGCCACTTTGAGAAATTATGAATAGGTTTTATTGAATATAACTCATGTATGCATTCTGATTCTGATTTTAAACTACATGTATGCTTTAGAATATAATTTTAACGATTTTCATCTCAACAAAACCTAATGTGGAATAATCCCAGATATCGTAAACTTAAACACCGAGACCAAAGTGCATATCAAGTGCCTTATTTTCGATTAGATACCTTAAATAAGACGCGCCGGAACCCTTTTTGTAGATCACGGGATTTTTCCACAAGCGTGATATTTTGGTAATGTTGGGTCCCGAATGTCAGGTAAACGAATTCGCTGTTGGTGACGGTTTTAAGTTCTTGCCGTTTGGCGATGAGATCTTTTGCGACTTTGTATCGCATATTGCTGGTCACAAGAAGATTTTTCGATTCCAGAATTCGCTTCATCCAGGTGAACGGAAGTTGAGCATAGATATTTAAAAGCTCTTGGTAGCCACGATTGTGGCAGAAACCACTACCGGATTGCAATTTACAAACATTCTGTCCTTCGTGAAGATGATTAGTGTTATTGGTGTTAAACTTGAAAGCTTGGAGCACCTTTGGAAGTTTTCTGATGAGGAATGCATAACAGAGATCCTCGATTGAGCTAGCATATTCTTTATAATGCTTTTCAAAGAATTTGATGTATGAGATAACAGTCTTATGATTAATATCTTTTTTCAGAATCTCTAAAGACCAGGCGCAGATATCCTTCATTTCTAAATAGTATGCGGCTGCAAAAACATTTTTCACATTGCTTGGGTTGATTCGATGGAGTGAAGACTCGATCATATGAGCGAAACATATTCTAATTCCTTCAGGAGTTATATTCGCAGCATCCAAGAATAAAATGATCTCATCTGACGAAGAATTGGTCAGCGCTTCATGTATAAATGGTGAGCGTACGGTATTGATCGCGTTTAGGTGATAATTTTGTTTAAATGTGCTATGTTCCACCTTGAGAGATATATCCGAGAAGTGGCGATCAATCATTCCAATTTTTTTCATGCAAATATATAGCTTATTTGGCGGGATAGGTAACAAGGGTTGAGCTACTTCTTGTTGATTTATGTTCTTAGCTTGATGCTGGTGTTCCTGTTTCGTCGAGAAGGTAGCCAACGGGTGAATATTTGCACTCTTTTTCACACTGACGTTAGCCGCGAGATTCTTATTTGGCTGATGTTTGGGAACTTTTGAAGAACGATTATTCCTGGGTTGACGTTTTTTATCCCTCGAGTATTGCGATTTTTCATTAGTATTCGTATTGGATGATTGACGCCGAGTATTGAAATTAGCAACAGAACGCTTGGTCGGTTGGTTTTGGGAATGGATGTTCCTAATGGCGACCGGATCCACCGTATGTTGTTGGATTTGGCGAATTGGTGATCTCAAAGAGCCATTACCAATGCTAGACTCTTTACTTTTAGACGATTGCATAGCTTTCTGTTTCGTTCAATGCGCGAACTCGTAACAAGTGAATATTACTATATAAGTCTCGTTGATAATGTGAATTGAAAAACGGATTGCCCTCAAAATGATTTGGTAGAGCGTATGTGAGTATAAGAATGGGTAAAAGTAGACAAGAAAAAGTTTGAAGTTGTGGCTTTGTAAACGTAAGACTATTTTTTCACGTATGATTAAGGCACTTCGAACGAATTAAGTATTTCTAGTCAAAGAAACTAGTAATACCGATACCTACATACGAGCGTGGAAGGAGTCATTATTTTATGCGTGACACGTGACTATTTTTGAATCTGATGAAATTAGATAATCAGTTATTTTCGGAACGATCAACAAATAAAAATTAAATTATACTAAGAATTAATTCGTTAGTGTCTTATGTTTTGACGATGGGTAACATAATTATTTTTAAACTTAGCTGTTACACAGAACCTTATTGGTGCCTATTTTATTTGAAGTCAACATCGAAATCTTCATTGATTCCACTAACGTTAAACAATATCCTAGACAGGTGGCATTATTGATGTGGAATATCCAAAAACTCGATCCAATTGCTAATATATTTCATAATATTCGGATTAAATTATTTTGACCAGCTGACCGATTTTTTAACAAATGAGAACCTCGAGAATTTTTTTACCTGTCATTTGACCTTACGTGTGCGTGTGTCACCAATTTTTTATAATGATGGCGTCAGCATTCTGTGCAAACTTTCAGTTTCCTGACAGATCAGCCATTTTTCCATGAGATCCAATAATAATGAGAATAATTAATCACTCGAGTCTATGATATCGATATATAGTAAATCCAACACCGAGAAAAAAAATTCAATTCGAAAAAATGCACTAAATCTTTTTTGATTTCGAGCAATAATAAATCAAATAGGAAAGAGTCAATAATGACACTTCAACAGAGCGTAGATCTTGGAATAAAGAGTGTGAGAGTGGCTGTGTGTTGGATGCGTGGGTAAATGAAAAGCGTGGGAAGTCTATCCTAAACCTAAAATATATAAATATGTGCGAAATTGGTTGTTGCGAATTTTTCGTCGCACATACAATAGTCTCGTTTCGAACACAAACACACGAATACACGCACACAAAAAAATACACACATAAAAAATACACATACGTAAGAACACAGATATATTTATTTGCACACTTACACACACGTTTACATTTTTCTTTTTTTGTAATCACCTAAATTTTCTATATATATTTTTTTTTGAATATTGCCCCGATTTGCGTCACATCTGTCCGTGTTGTCCGAAAAAACGGAGGAACTTCTCCTGTCATCATCATCATCATTGATTATCCTAGGATAAGTGTCACCTATGAACCCTTCTTTTCATAACGATAATACCTAAATGTCTCGATAAAGTTATTTATAAAAAAATAATGGCAAAAAACGCTATTCTAATAATATATTGACTGCGCATCAGAAACAACATGCACAACATCAAAAAATCTTTTGGACCACTCATCATCATTTATTACAATAGCGATATATATTTTGACCCATAACTTAATGTACCATATTATATCCCATATAAAATAGTATATTAATATTGTTGATAGTAATATATTCATATTTTCATCATATATTTTCTTCATTCTTTTCTCTCATTATCATCTCATTATTATTATTTTTACTTTCGTTCATACGCCGCCCTCACTCCAATCTCTAAGCTTTTTATTTGTATGTATATTGACTTTGCTTGATACTACTTACACCATTACACACCACCCCTTCTTCCTCTTAGTTTAATTATAAGACACATTTCGACTTGAGAGTCGTCAACGCTGAATTACTTCTCGGAAGCATTTGAAACCTGCGCCCGAACCAACCATTTAAAATAAATATTCTCCTTTGGCGTATAACTATTACACACACATAAACCGAGACTTTACTCTTTCTTTAACAATTAACTTGAGACATTCTACACTGTGAGAGATCATTCAAACACTTTCCTTTCGCTTTTTCTGGCTTAACTAAAATTGAATTACTTGCCTTCGTTGCGCTTTAACAATTTAGTTACTGCGCAAATATATGTAGGTTATAAAATTTATTCTACTCTTCGCTTCTGTTTATTGTTACCTTCTCGTAGACTTTTGACTATATAATTGGTGGTTATTTACATTCGAATTCCAAAGTGTTCAGTAACCATGTTGCAAGGGGAGGTGACAAACATGACAACCACCACCACTTCCACTGGGGACGCTATCGAAAGCTCTTCGGCGACAATGAATATCGCTAACATTGCACCTTTGGGCGCGACAAAGGGACGGCGCAAAACCACAAGAAAGAAGTTGTCTCAACAACAGATAGCAGAAGTGGAGGATAGGTCGAAAGATCAAATTCAATATCAACCACATTCCGATTCCACTATTCCGGTAGATAGGAACAGATACTCAACCTCTCTTGATCCGAGAGGATATATTCCAGGTATTTCTTTGTTACATATACTTGCCAGAGTCATCGTTATCTTCTATATTATCGCGAGCAATGTTATCGTGGGAAATTGTTAAATATCAACAATTATCATATGATAGCTACGCAAGAATCATTGTCCCTTGCGTCTTCAACACCTTTATTTATCGTTTTCGATAGTCTGTTTCATCATAGAAACGAGAATATTATAACTCATAACACCATTTGTTGATTTAATTTTTTTTTCTCGGAATAATTTACAGTTTATGAATACGACATCAACGAACAGCCGATAATGTGGGATCGCGAAACTGGATACGTTCATTTCACAGGAATATGGAAGGCCCTTGGAAAGAACAAGGCTGATATCGCGAAATTGGTAGAAACCCACCCGGATCTGGCAGCGACCATCAAAAAGGTTCGTGGTGGGTTTTTGAAAATTCAAGGAACTTGGTAAGATACCTTTGACTTTCATGAAATAGTTTTTTATTTCATCGTCTGAGAATCGAATTGAAAACAATTTATGTTATAAATATTACTTATTATATTTCGAATATATATAGGATGCCGTACGATTCAGCAAAGGAACTTTCGCGTCGGACATGCTTCCAATTAAAGGAGCAGCTTGTACCGATTTTTGGACCTCATTTTCCGTCAGAAGTATTATCACCAACACAACCTGGCTTCGGAATTCTTGCTCTCTCAGACGAAGCTGCACAGAAGAAGAGAATTAGGCGAAAACCTAAAGAGACGACTTTAAATAATGCAGCGTTGATGCCAGTGACATCGATTAACATCGCCACATCCATCCCCACAACAAAAACAACAACTACCACTAGTACTACTTCTACTGGGTATGCGGTTAAGCCCAAGCTGAAAATTTTGTTCGGAAAACGTGAGAAAGAGGCGGATAATATTCCCTTAAATACAACAGATCAACTTCAACCGATGGCTGTAGACGATAATAACAGGTCAAACTACATTAACCACTTTAATCATTCATTGGGCACCGCTTTTGGTTTTGACAACTATTCAGTTCAAAATCATCCTGATCGATCAGAAGTTCAAGGTAGATCCTCGTCGACACAACGATCAAAAATCAGTAATATCCGTGCGCTCCTCAATGAGGAACAAATCGACCCTATGTATGATCGAGAACATCCAACTTTGAATGATTGGGACCTTTATATCAGAACTGATGCTCATTCCAATAAACGAAGATATGAAGATCGAAATGATTATTGTAAAGATGCAGATTCATCGGATCATAAAGGAGGAGTGCCACGCAAGCTCATGAAATTTTCAATGGGGATAAATCAATTGATTAATGAAGATGGACCATCGACTTTTCGTCAAGATTTCGCGTATCAATACGAAAATGGCACTTTTTTTACTAATAATAATATCGTAATTAACGACGCTTATCAAGACCAACTGTATAGTTCACAAATTAATAATTCCGATGACATGGTCGCGATTTCAAGTGATGAATCCAGTTCTGAGATGTCATCAAGCAACAGTGTCAGATTTGAACATTATAATTCGCCGATCCCAATGACCCCAGTTCATCCAAGCAATGCCAATCCACCAACACCAATTTTTGAACGGGATCTTTTAGAAAAAGTCGAAGCTGCCTCAATCCTTCAAGGATTGGCAAATGATCGAGGATCTAGATCAGTTGTTGCGTGGCCACGAACATTCATTTTTAACAATCAAGAATTTCAGTACAGCGGTTGTGGTTATCGAGTTTTACGGTACTGGTGAACAAAGAATTACACACTACTGTAAAGTGAATAAGGAATGTTTAATTGCGTGAAGCATCCTTTTTTGTAAATATTTTACTGCTCAGAGGGGTTTTTTAGAAGGACTGTAAGGATAGATAGTGGACAATGGCGATATTTTATTTTGTGAACAATTTTATTAGTGGACAATGCTGTTTTTATTATAATGTGGAACAATGATGTTTTTTATTTTTTGCGTAGAGAGCTTTATAATCAAATGTCACCTTTATTTCGACGGATCAAGTTCTTTTTGCAATCAATATTTATGTAATTCCCCTTTAATGAGCGGTGTATATTGGACAATCCATACATAACTGTATATTTTTTCTCTTTTTTCATTAATTTTGTATATATATTCCTTGCAAGTACAATATTTTTATCAATTGAATTATTGTTTTTTTCTTTCTTTTTGCAAATATGTAGATAGTTTTTTTCCCTTTTTTCTCCGTCTGAATTTGATGTCATCTTTTATTACAACACACACACACACACACAAACACACAAACACACATACACACATACACACACATATATACACACACAACGAACATTTCTTTATTATTAGTAGTAGTTTGTCTCGCTAGTTGTGAATTTCAATAATTTATATTCTATCGCTCATTTATTTTTTGCATGCAAAAAAAATTTTTTAGCATACATAGGAGTAAAAGTGATCGACCAGTATTCTGTTTCGGACTCCCTTTAGCAAAGGGTTATTAAAGTCCTAAAAAATGACAGATTCTAATAGCGCGATTTTTTTCACGAGATTTCTTTTTTATGCTAAACTGTTTATAGTATGTATAGCATAGTGAAATACCACGGAAACTTGAAACACGCAATTACTCTAAATTCTAGCATACAGAATATTAATTTTTTGGAATGCAGCTATTCTGCCAAGACGGAGAAATGTAATTCATTTTTTGCTCATTTTAATCACCGTCTCGCCAGTTGTTATCTCATTCAAAAACACTAATGATATATGAATTCCAATAAAGTTGTATTTTGTACCAAATGATTATTTCTTGTGTATCTTTATAAGAACATGGGCGAAACTAATTTCACCCAATTCGTTTCAGATTTTGCAAAAATAGTTCTTGTCGTTATATATAGACGCTCTTATAAAATATCTCTGTACAAGAAATTTAGATATAAAAAAAGAGGTCAACAATATTTTATAAATGACAACGGCAACAACTCTTTTTTCGTTACGTCCGTCCGTTTCTTCTTAAATGAGTGATGAATGAATATCATAACTGATGGAAAATATTTTTCAAAAATCAAGTGGCACTTTAAGCAGTGATATAATTTCGGCACAAAATTCATGGCGGTTAATATTGTTAAGGCAATTTATCTAATTTATTAATTATACCTGGTTTAAGAAGTGCCACTGTGTACATTCTAGGTACATACTAGAATAGAACCAGTTAAGGATTTAACCGTAGCGGTTGTTTACCTCACCGAATCATTTTATTTATTATACAACGGAATTTAATAATTCAAGCTCTAGCTCTGGCGGTTTCATCCTAATGCATATTTTCTTTGTCGAGGGTGGTAAAAATTTCATATAGACGAAGTAAAATCCTTTGTGGTCATCATAATAATAGTGGCAAAGGTACACCTATTTTTTCATCATCTGACCTTCGTCATTTCAAACTTGCAAAAAAGCCATTAAACCACAAAGTTCCGCATATTAGTTGCGATGTCTTTTGCTCTATCCCACATGGTCGAAATTTAAACTTTTTTAAGAATACGTTAATTAACTAAAGATTCGATAATACTTGTAATGACATCCTTATTCAAATTTTGACCGGTTGTGTTCAACGACCCCTGTCCGGACCTCCAACTGCTTCGGAAGTCGGCTCGGGATAATTTCCAAATTCGTCGACTTTGAAACATATGGGGTTAATATTGAAACACAATATCCGATGAGTCGATGTATTTTTGCTTACAATTTTGCACTCGGAACAATCTACTTATAACAATAATTTCGGTGTGGTATTGTTGAATACGTGTCCATGTATTATTTAATATAGCGACGTAGATATTGTATTATTATTTATAGTATTAATGCCGTACTCTGGAGGCGATTACTTGAATGACTCATTTCGTAGAAAGAATTCATGTTATCAGGAAAGAAAAACTCTACATAACATCCGTAGCTCCGTGTTTTCAATCAGTTGATGAGATCAAGAATCGGAAGAACATTGATATCGTCAAACAGAAGATTGCTGGTCAAACTTTCGACCTGAATAAAAAAATATAAAGGGCTCGAATCTGAGTTTCAGTCACCACCCTGGTGTACCAAACTCTCAAGATTACAACTAACTTATTCTTATCATTAAATGGAGGAGCCCGTTTTGCAAATTTACAATTTTCGCCTAAATAAATAGAAATACTATCACTTTATCTTTCGGATTGCTTATAGTATACTCAGAATGGAATTAGGACTGAATCCATTTCTGTTTTGTTGCTTAACCAATTTGAAGTGTGTGTCGCAGAAGCCAACTCAATTGTTGATTTTGAATATGCGACAAAATCGATTGCATAGTCATCAAGTGGATACGTGTTCAACTGAAGCCAATTTTCTGAAAAATGGATTGAACCAGGTGCTTCAAACGAAATTCACCAATATAAAAAGTATACCGATCCAACCCCGCCTTCTTGTGATTATATCACTCGGCATGGATGCCTCGTGGCTCACGATGTGTCAGGAAAAATGGAAGTTTACTTCATCTTGTCCATGAATTGGGATAACGGGGGTAATCTTCAGAATTATTATACATAAAAAATGGAAGATTACACCACCTGAAATATATACTTGGGATAGGTAAGATAAAGGTAGGTCTCCGCCATATAGTATATATAAAAATTTATACCCTTTATCCATTATTAAATCTCTTAGATATCAAGTGACTAAAGTAAGCAAATAAACTTTATTAATTGTTAAATCGCCTATACATCAAGTGACTGAAGCAAGCAAAAACTATCAATAGACTTTATAAATTTCTAATTAATTGTTAAATCTCTTAAGGAGAGTGATATATATTACATAATTATCAGGGGGTTTCAAAAATCTCACCTTCCCCATGATCAAAAATAATTAGCCAATTAAAATATAATAAAAATCTCACCTAGGGAGAGGAAGGGATTAATTATATAGTATAACTTTTTGAGCATGATTTTAGGAATTCCATTGTTTATTTTCATATTTATAATTGCATTTTTAGTTAATAAAATTAATTTGATTATCAAATATAATAAAAAAACTTGTGAGATCGTAAAATTTATCTCATTTTTTAATCATTTTTCAATAGTTATATAGTTTAGTCCAAATATTTCACTTTTAAAGTTCCAATTTATTACAACATGAAAAAAAAGATTTGGGTAAATCTAAAAATTAATATATAAAAAAAAGAGATTACTTCCATATTTATTACACTCTTATAGGAAGAATTACTTTTATGTTCATTATATTCTTATGAAAAGAATCACTTTCACATTTACAAAAAGGGTCATTTCTACATTTATTACACTCTTATAGGAGGAATCACTTTTACATTTATGGGAAAAGTCACTTCATGTTCATTATACTCTCATGAGAAGAATCATTTTCATATTCACAGAAAGGATCACTTCTAGAGATAGTGCAGCAAGCATATGATGCTTAATTATTATCTGTTGCAACATGTTGCAACTCCAAAATTTTATAAACCACAACTAGTTGCAACTAGGTGATGCTTTATTTGTCACCACATTGCAACAGTTGCTGCGTCATCTTTAGTCACTTCCACATTCACAGGAAGGATCACTTCCACGTTCATTACACTCTCACGGGAAGGGTCACTTCCACGTTCATAATACTCACACAAAAGAAAAAAGTGTAAATATACTTACTTTCATTCATTTTTAAAAGAATTAATGACGCCCAACACGAAAAATTCAAATTTAGTGAAAGAATACAAAATCGCATGTATCGACATATTGGCAATGCCAAAATTATGAGATGAGCCACCTTCGATAAAACGATGCTTAATCAAATATGAACGGAAGAAATCTGCATTAGATGAAGGTTTTTTTTATCTTATTTACAACCAAAGAATGCAATACTACCACTCTGGGTTGGATAAAAAACTGGTTTAGTTATTTCGGGCCATTTTAGGTAGAAAAATCAATACCGATACTGCAGCTCGTGCATAACTTCATTGGATGATATATAACGATAAAAAACTGAAAAGTAAAAAATACCAATTAATAATATCGATATTAAAAAATATTAGAGCAAGCAATACACTTTTTGGAAGCAGGCTATGTTTGTGATTACTCAGCACGGACTTCTAATTTTTTTTATCTTAGTCAACTCGCATTTACGTTTAGCATTAAAAGTAATCACGAATATGATTATTTCGCTATATATCTACTAAATCTTTTTATTTGACGATGGATGAATGTTTCCATAGTGAAAATGTTGGCGAAACAGTTTGGGATTATGCTTTGTGAGTCACATATTTTTGATAACATGTAAGAATAAATATTTTGAGACTATTCGTGCACAAGCTACAATTTTGCTACAGGTATTATTGTCAAACCTTAACGTTAGAAGTATCGTGGAGAACTTTATGATTTCGAATCAAGATATTCTTGTTCTAGTAAATCCGATATATTCTCACTTATTGAAAATGCGGGATTCGTTCTATATATGTTAACTCAATTACTTGAAGACCGTTTTAAATAAATGATAATACACATACAGGATCGAGGTTAACTGAAACTTCATGACAGAACAATGAACATAGAAACACAAATTTCCTTTTTCAAACAAACAAAAGGTACTAATTTCCTGGTATCTGTATTTTTTTTGTTGTTTGATGTTCTACTAATGCGGCATAGATTTCCTTTAAACTTTGTAAATAGAAAAAATCACCGCTATGAACTAATTTCGAACCTAACTAATAATAAACTCTTAATAACGATAACAGTCATTGGCTTCACATTTTTATTTTCGAACAATTGTAGTTACTGTCGCTATAACAGCAATAATATCGCAATGTTGAACTTTAATCATTTGAAAGGTACCTTGAACGGACGTCGAAATCGAAACTCGACAGCAGACAACAACAATACGTCAAGTACTCCTAGCAATATTAGTAAGCGTCGCTCGTTGACGAAAAACTCTAAACAGATAACACCACCACCACGGTCACAGAGTGACGAGAAACTAGACGACCTGTTATCGGAAAGTACTGTTGACGAAGAAGAACGACAAAATGAAGGAAATGACACCAACAATGAGATTCGATCAGAAAAATCGAATGAAAGTATCTCGACTTTAGCTTCTAGCACTGCTAAGGATTCACCCATATTAGCTTCCAACACTTCTAAGGATTTACCCATAACAATCAAATTGAAACTTGATAAGCTAAAAAAGTTTGAAGCTCGTGTTCCTGGTATGGATAAATTTTAAGGGTTGGATAGTAAATAAAGGACGCTTCTGTAGCATGAACAACGCATACAATAAATTGTTTAATTTTAATTTTATTTATTTTGAATATGAAAAGCATTAAAAAAATCATACGACAAGTTAGTGAACGAGAAAAAAGCGATCGAGACTGTATTACGCGAGAATACGCATCTGGATGGAATTTCGGATGTTGAAGCTTTTGAAGCTCATTTACGAAACTTAAGCGTAAAGAGTGAGGTAAATGTTGGTTTGATCAATTTTTATTTTAGATATCATCAATTTAATTTTTATTATGCATAGATGTCGATGCAGGAAATAAAAAGATTGACGCAAGAACACAATGGTATGTCATCATGATCTTCATCAAATTCTAGGCTATTTGGTTTTTTACTCTCGTCACTCTTTTTATTTAGAGTTAAAACAAAAGTTCAAGGAACTGCACGAAGTTCACGAGACAGTAAAGTCTTCACATTCTGAAGTAATTGACGAGCTTCGGAAAAAATTGGAACAACGTGAACTGGTAAAATAAATGAACTTTTGTATTTTTTTTTATCCACGCGTTTAATTCATTCTGTAATATCATGATCCGTATGTCAGGAAATAAATACTCTCCAACAAGAATTCGAATCACGTCCTGAAAAAGAAATACTTCAAATGAACGCTTCCCAAGACCAAGATGAGGAGAACATTACCAAACAAGAACAAGAGCAACATCACCAAACAGAAATTGGTAATCTGAGACTGGAATACGAGTCGAAAATAAGTGAACTTGAGAAACGAATAGAATCAATTCTCACAAGTCAGAAGCCGGTCAATGTGAAACAAGACGATTCACTAAACCTAGAAATAATAAGTTATCAAACCAAGATAAAAGATTTAGAGAACGTGAATTCTGAGTTGGCTAAATTACACGAAAAAGCCATCGAAAATGAACGGGCTCTGGACGGCTTAAACGCAAAATTGCTTAAATCCGGGCGAGAACATGATGAATTATCTGTACTACTCAGTTCACAAAAAATCGAATTTGAAACCAAAGTAAAACAACTGGAGCAAGAGCGTGACGAGATATCGACAAGATCGCGAAAAGAGTTTGTCGAAATGCAAGAAGAACTCGGGAATAAAGTTGCCGAGTTATCTAAAGAACTCGAAACATCATCGTTAAACTCTAAATCTCAAATCTCGGAATTGGAAAATCGTCTCACCACTAGAATTCACGAGCTGGAAAAAGAACGGGATGAAATATCTGATAATTCTAAATTTCAGCTTTCCGAAATTAAACAAGAGATGGAAACCAAGATACGGGAATTGGAGCGGGAACGTGACGATATTGGTGAAAAGACAAAAATCGAGATCATTGGATTGAACAAGCAGTTGGACAGTAAAGCGCAACAAATTGAACGGGAACGTGAAGAATCACTTGCTCTGGGTAGCAAAGTGCAACAAATTGAACGGGAACGTGAGGAGTCACTTGCTCTCTGTAATAATCAAATATCTGGACTGGAATCAAAAGTGCAACAATTGGAATTCGAAAAGGATAAATTGCTGGAAAATACCAAAAATCAATTAGTTGAAATGGAACAATCGAAAATACTTTTACGTAAATTAGAACAGGACAATGAAGAAATGACGGCCAATTACAAAGCTCAAAATAAAATATTAGAAGAAAGATTGGACAAATTGAATGCGGAAAAAAACGAATCTCTCGTCTCTAATTCCAGAGTACCGGATTCAGATGACAACACCTTAGAAATAACAATAGATGAGAAAGCTAATATTCTTGATCGTCTTTCAAAATTTAAAGAGACATTAGACACTCTAAATGAACAGTATGAATCACAAAAAAACAGGAATGAAGAATTAGAACTATCATTAACCGCTTTAAGTCAACAGATTACTCAGAATGATGAAAATTATAATAAACTACAAATAGAAAAAGAGCAACTTTCTTTATTGTTACGAAAGTCCGAATTGAACTACAATAATTCAAAAGACCAAATCGCCGAGTTAACGAATAAACTATCGATCGCTCAACAACAAGTAATTCAACACCAGGAGACAATTTCAACTATAAAAACTACAAACGAACAACTTACCAAAGTGCACGAAGAACTATCACAAAAACACAAAGATCTCGGATTAAATTATGAAGAATCACTAAAGCAACATAATGAAATCGAGTTGGTTTCTTTCGCGCTGACTAACGAAATCAAAGAACTTAAAGAACGCGGCAATGATCTCTCGAAACAAAAAGATGAGCTTGGCGAGACAAATATTGAACTTTCTAAAAATTTAAAAATTGCTCAGGAACAGTATAAAAATGCTGCTAGTGAATTAGAACAATTTAAAGAAAAACACGCGACCTTAGAATCGGATATTGCTCAATTACACGGTGCAAAAACTGCAGCATTAGAAAAACTATCAGATGTGGAATCACGACTCAATTCGTCATTGGCGCGAGAACGAGAACTAAAAGATTCTCTTTCAATAGCAAAAGAAACAATAAATCAACGTGACGAAGAATTAGAAAATATGCTAAAGCAGCAAACAGCAGAAAAGGAAAAATTTAATAAATCATGTGCACTCATAAAAGTCACCAAGCAAAAAATCATGACGTTAGAAGACGAAAAACGAGAAGTAACTGAAGAACTTGAACGCTCCCAAGAATCATTGACCCAACTTGAGCAAACATCCAATCAAACATTAAAACAGGAAACTTCACGGTTCAACAAAGAACTCGCCACAAAAACAGCACAAATTACTCGACTCGAATCCGCGAATGGGAAATTACACGAGGAAAAAAATTCATTGTTTGATCAGTTACAAATAAAACAAGCGGAATTCGAGTCATCGCAATCATTACTTGAGAACTTGACAAGTCGCACAAATGAACTCACACATCAACTTAAAGAATATGAAGATCGTATACAAGCGCTCGAAGAGGAACTGAAAATTAATAAACGCACGTCTAGGGATAAAAATCGGGAAGTGGAGTTACTTCAAGCTAAAGTAATTGAATTGCAAAGAGATTCAGAAACAAAGAGTACTGCTCTAAAGGCGCAAGTGGAAGTTTTAAAATCAGAAAAGGAAAATATTGAAAAAGAATTTGAGAATACTAAAGGATTGGAAGAGAATAAATTACAAGAGTTGAAAACTCGATTGATGACTAAAGAACAAGAAGTTGATAATCTATTAAAGCGGTATAAACAAGAGGATCATGTGATATCAGGATTAGAAAAAGAAAACCAAGATTTAAAAGAAGAAATAATGAAATTGGAGGAAGCGAAGAATAAGCTGCGTGAAGAGCTTTCTAATACTAGTGAAGAAATGGCAAGTGTATTTTATTCATTATATTGTTGCGAGTTATGGGTTATGCTTCATGTTAATTTTTTTTATTAATAGACCAAATACCGTGAGACGGAAACAGCAACACAGCGCGACAAAGAAGAATCCAATAAATTATTAGAAGAATCACGAATGCGTGAAAGCCATTTACGCGCCGTAAATAAGGTAATATTTATTTTTTCTAAATCTAAAATTTTAATGAAAATAATAACGGATAACTCAATTATATTATATTGATACTATAAAATAGACATTAAAAGATGAAGTTCGCAAACTTCAAAAGGTTACTTTGACCAATTATGATCGAGCCTCAACTTTGCCATCTCAACCAACTTCTCCAACTTTTTCTTCCAATCGAGAAACACCACCTATGACACCAATAACTTCATCCTCATCCTTGCATCTGTTGGGAAATTTGTCGTCATCTTCACTTGTGAATAGTGACGATGATATACATTTGGAGTATATTCGTAATTTAATAATGAAATTTTTGGATTCTTCGAGGAAAGACAGGGTAAGTTATTTTTTTTATTTTATTAGGATAATTCGATTTAAACGAGTTTACTTATACTTTTTAATTTGACTTGATAGCCAATTCTTATTCCGGTACTTGCAACTGTACTGCAATTGAAACCAGAGGATAAACAAAAGTTGGTCGCAAAGTATGGATAAAAGTCGTGAATGTGTGTCGAGGACTATTATTTTTCATGATCAGATTTTAATAACTAAAATTTTTGATGATTTTAATTTTTTGTGCTTGCTTGCATATAAGAGTTTAATAATGTAAATATTAAATTTATACTTAGAATGTACCACTGTTAAGAAACACTAATAATTAATTCGTTTATTAGATGTAATTTAAGCTTTCAATGTCTGATTTTCTATTAAAAAAAAGATTGAGCGCTTTAGTCTTGAAGATATATTTCTTAATCTTCTATTGATATGCAAAAAAAACGTGCAACGGACAACATTCTCTTTTCATATCCATTCCATTCGATTTTATGATGCTAAAAAATCTTGAATCTACAATTTTTATTTGTGAATATTATGTATATGTATATATGTGTTTGTGTATATATGTATATGAGAAAGTGGAGATATATAAGAACAAGAAAAAAAATCTACAGAAAAATTATATATAAATTAAAGTAGATGTCATGCAATTATAACTTTTAATTAGACTACATGTGATTAATTAAAATTTTTTGGGGAAATACAAGGAAAATAAATATTTTAACAAAAATACACTAAATAACTCAATCAGATATAAATAAATAAATAAATAAATGTAATAAATATAATTTCTACAAGAGTCGACCACCATCAAAAAATGCTCATGGTCTAAATTATTTTCTATTTAATACAGCCGGAAAAATCACATCAATTACCGAATCCACAACTCTTTTATATACTATCATATTGTCCTATTGATAGCTACTATCTTAGCCACTTTTCATGAAATTGCAAGAATAATCGGCACCAACTCCCCTTCACCTTCGTCATCATCATCTTCCTCATTAACATAACCACCGCTAGCATTATTAGTTGGTCGCAAATCATCTGCATTCGCTTCATCGTCTTCAGTATCAGTATCAATTTCCCCGACTTTCCTCTCTTCAAGCACAATTTTTACTCCGCCGACTGGTATTGTTGTCGGTGTTGTAGAAGCTGACATTGTTGACATTGTTCTATCTTTTATGCCTCCATTTCTGCTCCCTCGATTATTATTACTGTCAACATCGTCTTCGTTATTATTATTATAATAATACGATAATGTCGATGACGCGGTGGTCCTTATGCTGGCAGCTTCACTTCTGTTCAGTGATGCAGCTACTTCATCCGCATAATCCGGATCCAATTGGTCATCATCTGATAATTCGATTGCAGGTTCAGGTGGAATCGATAAAGAACTTGACAGACATTCCAAATTTGCCAATGTTGAAGTTGGTGTTAGTGGAGATGGCGGTATTGGGGGTGGCGTGATTACTGTTTGAATAATAGTGGTATTGGTTGATGGTGAACTTATTGGTGGGGGTGGTAATGGTAGATTTGGAGGCCGTGTTCGCGGTGGAGGTGGTAATATAAAAGATGACAATGGAAACGAATTATTTTGATGGTGTTTTTTATGAGTGAATCGATTTGATGAAAATGATCGAGAATGTAATGACGGTGAATGTGGTTGTGATGGTGATTTTGATGAAGAACGTGATATAGTGGTCGAGGATAATGATCTATTATGATTGCTAATGCTACTATTATTAAACGTTGCAGTCAATGACCTTGATCCGGGTATTGATGATGAAGTTTGCTCTGTTGAATGGCTTGTTTGGTTGTAATGTGGTGAACTCATTGAATAGTAATAGTGATTATTATTTGATGATCTTGAATCCTTTCGTATTATTGATGGAGATGTCGGAGCAGACATTGGTGAAGTTGGTCTTCTTGGACGAGGAGGTGGTAGTGGAATATTAGGCGGAGGTGGACGACGTCTATTGTCCACAGGAAATTCTGCTCTCAGAGGTGGTAATGGGAATCCCGGAGATCCTAATGGGGATAACGGCGAGGAAGGCGTTGACGGGGGTGTATATCGAGAATTATGAGAAGATCGTGATGGAGATAGTGATGGAGAATGAGTTGCACGTGGGAGAGGAGGCGGTGATCTAGGAGAACGAGGAGGAAAAGTAGATGATTGTTTCGAACGTAGTAGTGGAGGAGATCGTGGTGGCGGTGGTAATGATGTATTTGTTGTCGATATAGACGACATATTTTGTGTCGATTTAACATTAAATGTTGCACTGTGTGACCACGATGATGACAGAATTGTATCGTAATTATTTTGATTACTATTATTATTATTATTATTATTATTATTATTGTTATTATAATTTGTATTATAAGATAACGTAGCCACTTTTTTATCAAATTTCGGTAGATAAGGAGGCGGCAAAATTACTCCGGTGGAAAAATTATTATAATTATTATTTTGTGAATAATTTGTTGGCGATGGTGGAGATTGATGTTGCGATGATAAGGTAGTAGCAATAGAATTGATCGAATTTAGAGAACTTGATCTTGGTCTGCCAGTTGCCGATATTCCAGACAAAGTAGGTCGATGTTTTGTAACTTTTTGTTTTATCGGAATCGGTGACGTCGCATCTTGTGAAATCGATGGATTTTCTGATTGCGTCATTGACCATTTTTGATGTTGATTCTTTGTTCTTTGCGTTTCGAGGGGCGAAGAAGGACGCGAAGGAACACCCAATTCCGATAGTCCGACCATTCTGACAACAGGAGATCTTTGCGGATTGTTATGATTTTCATCGGTAGATTCTGACGCTTGATGGGATAATGATTGAGTGTATGTGGGTGACGGAGGAGCAGATGCGGAGACTCGAGGAGCAGGCCTTGGCGGTGGCTGTGGTCTCGGCGGTGGTGGCAATGATGGTGGTATTGGTAATACTGATTGGTAATGTTGATGATATGTTGATGGAAATGATAATGTATTATAATATGATTCTGATTCATCAGTATAACTACTTAATGATTCTGATCGTTTCGAGTGCCCACGTGCTGCTGATAATATCGGTGAAGTAGTAATATTGTTATTATTGTTATTATTTTTTGTTGATGATGATGATATACTACTAACGCTACTGCTACTATAATGACTATAATGAGGACGATTATGCAGATTATGAAGTTGCGTAAGGTGATTACTATTAATATTCGAATTAGTCAATGACTTCGTCAACTTTTCATCCTGATCAAGAACAGTAGCATTAGTCGTCGTATTTGTAATATCTTTCGGAACATCCGGTAATACCTGCGTACTATATTTACATTTTATCACAGTCGCCTTTAATTCATGTAACCATCCTTTCATCTCCTCAACATTGTCCGCTTGTAAATACCATTTCTTCTCGCCTAATTTGCTCACTTCCAGCACCCACAATTTACTAGTAAAATTCTCTGTAACACAGACAACCGTGTTTGCCGTTACCTCGAAATTATCAATCATCAATGCGATCGAATCTGATGATTTGAAACAATATAATGTGTTTTTGACCAGTGCAAAGTATCGTCGTTTCCATGATTTCGAGAATGAAAAACTTGGATTCATGTATTTTGCCATGTATCCACTATGCGCTATATGATTTCGAATAGTTGCCACGGTTATTGTGCCAGATAATGTCGTGGACGAGGACCGATGTGCTCCCACGAATTCTGATAATACTTTATCGGTCATTTTATCCATATACATTGATGGTGATCTCTTGTGAGAATCTCCTTCATTGATTCCTAGAACTCTATTTGCCTTGTTTGATTTATCCAAGAATGGTCGATGATCTTCAAGTGGAGGTATGCCAAGTACTTTATTCGCTTTTGCATTATTACCAGTAGTCACTGATCTTTCTCGATCATGTATCGAATCTATTGATGGTGGGGACGATGATAATGTAGGTAATCCTAATAATTTAGACGCTTTACTATTTATTCCCATTCCTCCTAAAGATGATGAAGGTATTCCTATTGGTTGCTGCAGTTTATCAACTACTAGTATTTTTTCTTCGGCTGGTGTCATTCCAAGAACTTTTCCAACTTTGGTCAATTGTTTTTGTTCTGATGAAATTTTTTCATTATTACCACTATTATTATTGACATCAGGAGATCCAGGGCGACTTCCAAAAATTTCACCATTTTGATCGTTAGATGATGATGCTACAAACATTGTTCTCGTGCGATTTCTTATTGATAATGAAGAAAATTTCGATCTGCTTAATTTTCGCTCTGTTTTTGATTTAATATTATTATTATTTCGCTGGGAATAATCATCCTCTGGATCCGATAAAGATCCCCTTTGTATGCCCTTGTTCGAACCTGATATCGAAGAGCGTAATGAGGAAGAAGATAATACAGAAAAGAATGATCTTGATGAATTTTTTCTTTTTGATTCTTTTTTTTTCTTTTCGTCTTTTGATTCTGAGTGAAAGGTGGCAGTGGGAGAAGGGATTTCGGTTAATGTGGTTGCAGAATTTGATAAATGTTGCTCTTCAGTAATAGATTGATTGGAATCTGTTTCGTTGATAGTTATGCTATTTCCAGTTCCAGCCGAAAGACGATCTATCGAAATACGATCTATTGAAAGACGACCAGTTGAATTACGATCAGTTGACTTTATCGATTTAGAATCGGATTCAAATGACTTTAGATTGCTAATGCGTTGTTGCAGTTGTGGGGATGGTGTTGGTGAAGGAGATAATTGTGGCTGTTGTGGTGGCGACTGTTGATTATGACCAAAGATGTCAGTTACAGTGCCAGCCGGGCTATTAATAACAGATTTCGTTGATTTAATTTCCTCCTCTTCTGTAATTATTCCCAGAGTTTGTTCTCTCTCGTGTGTTGCCTTATAATATTGATCGTCTAAACCTTCTAATAATTGACTTACACGCGGGGAAGTTCGTTGATTATTATTACTATTCTTGTCAAGCGACTCGCAAGAAATGTCTTCAGAATCGTCTTCTGTTTCTTTATCGTCATCCAATTGACTACTTACACTCGATCCAATTCCGGATTCTTTGGATAATCGATTTTCTTTGGTTTTAGCTAATGGAGCAGTGACAGTATTACTATTGCTAGTTGATGTTGTATCCGTATCTTTATTATGGTGGTTGTTGCTGTTGCTGTTGATGATAATATTCTTTGTGCTGCTGCTACTGTTCCTATTACTTGAACTATTCCTATTGCTTGAACTATTCCTATTGCTTGAACTATTCCTATTGCTTTTATTAATTATTTCAGTCTTTCTTTTTCGCTCAGTATTTACTATGGATACTTGTTCACTTAATGCGTCGACTACTTGTGTATAGAAAGATTTTTCGTTTTCGTTTTTATTCTCTTTATTAATGTTGTTTGTAGAAGTAGAAGTCAAACTATTATTTTTGCTGTTGTTGTTGCTATTCTCTGTACTACGACTTGTAAGTATTGCTGCGGTTTTTTCTCTTTCGGCCGCAACGCTCTCGGCTATAGTCCTTTCTGTTTCTTCTTTATTATCAATACCGTTACTTGCTTCTTGTGTATTGCCAAGCGTTTTCTTCTCCTTCTGTTCAGCATTCGTTGTTGAGACGCTGGAAGGATCTTTATCAAGCATGCTGTTTCTTGGGTGCCATACAACCACACCCTGAGTGTTTCAGCCAATTCAGGCGCGAAGATATATTTGTATATGTATGTGTGTGTATATAATAGCGAGTATTGTGTTATTGAACACACAATTGAGAGCAATAAAATATTCAACAAAGAGACACACACGATCAGAGAAGAGTTGCGTAATAAATAAAAATAAATAAATTATAAAATCGAGATGATAAAAATAATATAACAGTTACTAAAAGTATACACAAACCAATACAAGGATACACCACAGAACATCCATATGAAGTAGTAATTCGATGGTTGCTTTTCTGCTGCACAAAGATTTGAATTTTATTATCGATATTGTAATTCATAAATCATATTTTCGAAATAGCGTAAGAAGAAGAAACATTGAACGAAATTTTGAACAATTTTTACGAAGTATTTTTGTACACGTAATTATCAAGTGTCGAAAGGTTTTTTATCGCGTGAAAGAGTTATAAAAACTTCTGATATTTGGAATGTTGATTCTACATGTGTATGCATTTTGGATTCAATATAACAAATATAGCGATAACATATCGATATAGGCAGAGTTTGATTGAACAATGAAACATCATAAATTCATAAATTCAGTTTTTTGTAATCCGGAAATTAATTAATCCTATAATACTCGAGAATCACAATTCTGTTGCATCGAAGCATTTTACACTACGAAAAACCGCGAAAATTATTTTTATGTTCCAAACAAAAGGAATAAGGGTCATTATTATCACTATATTAAAACTATACACAATGTCTGATTAATCTTTTGTAATTACGGTTGTTGTTGTTGTTGATGATGGTGGCAGTGTGGTAGCGTGTGTGCCACGAGATTAATTGAATTGAATGTCGTGTTAGAAAGAAATGAAGAGTGAAAACTTGAAGAAAGGTTTTTCTATATATATATATGCATTCATGTATATGTAGGTGTATGTGCATGTATGTACGCTAATGTAATATGTCAGTAAGCTTTTTACATGGATAATGTTATGCATATATGCAAGTGTTCTCAGAATATTCTGTGATCTAATCATGGTGTAATTGGAAAAATATGCCGTATATGGTATGATATGTATTATTTTGTATATGTGTATTATGTAATCGGAAAGCTCTAACTAGTTATAGCATTTCGAGTCATGGAAAGATGGAGCCGCGGCGGCTCCATTTTTAATTAATTAATATCAGATATCTAAAGAATATAAAAATAAAACTAATTGATAGTTAATTAGGCAAAGTAATCTTTCAAACTAACGAAAAAGCGCATGAATGCACAAAAATAGAGTTTAGGATTTTCTTAACGATTCAAAAAGCATACCTTCATCGGATAAGCAACGCAAAAATTTATAGTGGAACAACGGAGAGTTCGTGTAGTTTTTGCAAAATACTACTATATCTCTAAATCTGTGGATTCGGTCCCTGGAACTTTGTTTCCATCGGGGTGGAAAGATGGCGTCTGTTATCCAACAACACTAATAAAACATTGTGATAATATTTTGTGTTTTGCTTTACAATCTTGAGTTTTAGAATAACGATAAATTGCGAGACAGACAATCCATAGAATGGTAACTCAAATAGTACTAGCGGCGAATTCTATTTATAATTTTGACTATATAAGAAGATTATTACATTAAACCCCCAGACCAAGCGGCGAATTCTTGTTTTGATGATAACGTTATTCTATCATTGAAGATTCATATCTCCATAATCTAAGTGAAAATTGGTATTTCATAACGATAACGATAAATTTCTTGTAGCACAATTATGGAAGTCACTATATAGAAGTTTCATAAAGAATTAATTTTAATTTTAATTGTAATACTTTGATCCAAATACAGTAATATCCCAAAACAGAGAGTGTTACTGAGTGCTCATTTATCCCGTAGCGTTAAAGTGCTAACGGCCTGTCGCTAATGTGACTTACTTTCAATAGATATTTTTATGAGAACATTGTTTAGATTTATTTCATTCAATTTTTCTGGGACAAGTTTGTAAATTGGTAACACAATGTTAAAGATTGGTTTTAAAGATTAAGGTTAGGATTAGGGTTAGGTTTGCGGTTAAACTCATATGTAAAACTGTTTTCCCCGACATTTTTTATTAGTGCTCCAAAACAAATCCGACATAGGGAAAATGAAAGTGTGCACATTCTTATTCGTTTGTACTACCCGGCGTTTTATTAAAATCAATAAAACGATGGCAAAAAAAGGCAGATCATATGATTCAGACCATCCAACATTACGGGAAGTCTACGGACAGTGCATAGGGACAGTGCAAAATCATGTGATCTTTCCGGTCCAGTGTCGGACAGTACT